CATAAGAGGCACTAGAGGAATCTATCGGGGTGGCACCTCCCCTTTGCGAGATAGATGCCGTAATGGAAATGATTCCTTGGTGGATTGATTTGTTCTTTCAGCCTTGGTTTAGACTTGGGAGTGGTTTTGTTATTAAACGTAGACCCTAAGTATAAAAATGGAAATGGTTTAATACCAGAAGTAGCCCTTAATGAGAATGCAAATATGGCTTTTGAAATGAAATGAAAGGAAATATATGATACGATAAGTATAAAATGATATTTATGACATGTATGAAATGAGTTTTCCTTGAAAATGCTTGAAAATGTTTTGTGGTCTAAAACTATGTTTTGCAAAGATGAAATGTTTTGTGAAAAATGTGAAAAATGTTTTGGGTCACAAACCCACGTAGCTCACGAGACATTTCTTTCTTACGTATCGCTTTTTATTGGCATGTATTCCTGGTTGCAATTAAGGAGAAATTTGATAGATGGAAGTTAGAAGATTAAGAGATAGATAACTGAGTGGAACTTGTTAAGTTCCTTATTATTTTGTATTGATGTAATTCTTATTTTCTTGCTATGGATTTATTGATGCTTAATGGTAACACCCAACGTTTTAATTTATAAAGGTTTTTGTGGGACCGGTTTTTGTTAAATATATGGGTTAATACCCGAATGTTTTCAAAACTATAGCATTTTAAAGTTTGAAAAAAATTGGGGTGTTACAATTTGGTATTAGAGCCATAAGCGAATTAGGCTTGAATCATTCCATTCCTAGGCATAGACTTTGGTTATGGAAATTGTGAATGAGTCATATGATTGCTATGCCTTGATTTAGGTAGAATCTTATGCAACAAGTGAGAGGAAGTAATTGTCATGCTACATGATATGAAGCTTTAGATAAGTCAGATTAACTTGCAGAATGCTACATTGAGTGATTCTATAGTGAGTAATGGAAGTAAGAATAGTGTATGATTAATCTAAAACAGTGGATCAGAACCTTTTAGTGGTGAAGTCAAGGTCGATTATGTATGATGTGGGAATAATAGTATAGGGCCCATACTATTATACACACATGATACATACACGAACTTAATGGAAACATGAATGGGTTTTGTGAAATGTGGTAAGGATTAGAGGGAGTTTGGGACTTACTGAATGTTTATCTTGTGTCAGATAAGAGTGACGAGGGAGTTTAAAACATGATTAATAGATAATGGGAAAGTTTTGATAACTTTGACTTTTTTGTAAAAGTCAAACAACTAGTATGAAAATGAAATTGTATTGGTGTACATTTTTTAGACGCTCAAAAGTTAGTTTGTAATCTTTTATATCTACTGGCAGTGAGTTAGAAACACCAAAGAATGAAACAAATTGAGGTAATAAATTGTTAACAAACAATTAGCTAAAAAGGGACAAAGTTGACTTTTGGTAAAAGTGAAAAATGAGACAAGAGCACGAATTCCAAATTTATGGTTAAGTAACTAGTCGAAGTTGGTTATATGGGACAAGCTTGTAATATTACATAGGAGTGAGAACTTCAAATTACAAGCGAGTTGATCGAGAAAAGAATGGAATGGAATCATGAATTTCTGATTTAGATGAAAGTAACTACTTAGATATGATTGGCAACACTCAAAGGTGAGCCTATGATCTAATTGGGAAAATGGTGATATGATAGTGAACGCAAGATAGTATAAGAGAGCACGGTAAATAAATACTTGGAAGGAACGTAATACTGTTGACTTAATGAAATCTTTTAGGATCCTAAGGAGGTTACAACTAGATGACCAAATTATCAAGTTTCAAGTGTGATAGTAGTTGTGGAAGAATGGTGTCCTGGTGACACCTAGACACTAGTAAAAGGCAAGCAGTGGTGCATTAACCTAATGCACTAGACTTGTGAGTGAAATCACCATAAGGAAAGAAGAATAGTGTAAGATACGTGGGGGTAATTATCGGGCCTGAAAAGCAGATAACCAATACGAAGATTGCCTCAAAGCATACAAATAATGGAAACTAAAAGTGATGATGTTGAGTCTATGAGAGTACTTTACGCTAACGTACTAGACTATTGTGATAAACAATTTAACGGGAGCAACTTTGTAATCCCTACTTACAAGTAATGTGATGTGTGATAAAATGTTAAGATTACATAGAGAAAATAACGAAGGCAACAAAAGAAACAAGACTCCAAACTGTGATAGTTTGACGATGAAAGAATGGTATCTAGAAGGTGTTCCATGATCGATAAAGTAAGAAGATGTTTCCACATGATGGAATAAAAAAGGATGTAAATTAAATATAAGAAGAATTTATAGTACTGACGAGGTGTGGACAAGAATGAACACCTGAAGTTCGTATAAAAGGACTGTCAAGGAGACGATGATGAGTAAGGAAATTTTGAAATTGCCATGGACAAGTTATAGAAATGAATAACTACAATGTAAGAATAAAAGAGTGACTTGGACCTTAAAATAATTCCCTCATTTCTTTTAAGGGTTAGATATTAAGAAGGAGATGAAAGTGTGATGATGGTATGTTACAAGAGATCACAACACTTTGAAGACTAAGTAAGAGTAACACATAGTTCTTGGAACTACGAGTGAAATGAATAAATCATGGTTACAAGATTTAGAGCTTCCAACTTGTAAAACTTGATGGATCGGACCAAGCATCCTCAAGTACAAGTGAGTATTAGGTTCGAGTATTTCTGCTAATTAGAATCGACAATCAGGCAAAGGGAAAATAGATTTATGATAATGGGATCTTATATTATGAGTAAATATAAAAGACATGACTTTTCCTTAGAGCACTATGGGTCACTGTAATAGTAACCAAAGGATGCGAAAATCAACTAATATAAAAGTTGGTTGTGTATTCATAAAAAAGGACAAGAAATAGAAAGAAGTAAAGTATATATGTGATTAATCGTGTAAAGAGAAGGTGGAATTTGAATACCACAAGGAGTAAATGTGAGGCAACGAGCTTTATGAAAGGAGATAAAATAAACATCTTGCTATATGATGAGGAACATTTTGTGATTTAACCTTAAAAGAAATGCCTTCATTTCTTTTAAGGGGTAGATAGCTGGGAAGAACCAAGTTACATGTGACGAGATAAATTGAACGAACAAAATTTTGAGAGTTGAGTAGAAGCAATGCCAAGTGATTTAGAGCTTCTTGTCATTGTATGATTAGACTTGTGGGCCTAAGAAATGTGCTAATTCACAATGAGATCTTTGTTTGAAATGTAATTTAAAGTGAATGAAGAAGGATAAGGACAATGTATGGGAAGTATATATAGACTTGGATAGTATAGTACATGTTGGTATAACGGTAGTAAACAATGAATGATATACATTACTGGATTATTTTGATGAATTGTATAAATTGACTTACAGGCCTGGATGAGTGTAAAGTGTTATCCTTATGAATTTAAAGTAAGGGCTATGGGAAGAAAGGTACAGGTATTAGTAGGAGCTAAATTGATAAACCATAATTACATGAAAGTTTAAAGGATGGTTTTATGCTTAAGGAAATAATTAAGTGTAATGTATTGTGAACGATATGTATAGAAAATAGAGGAATAATAATGGTGTGCTTGGGCACGAAAGGGTATAAATTGGTAATGTAGAATACCTAAGTATGGAAATGAACAAATGATCCAATCATGATTGATGGGTTGGAAGGACCCGATAAATATTCATAAATGGCTTAAAGCTTGATGGTAAATATTAGGATGTGTGACTTAAAGTTGGATAACCTTATTGCATGATATTGTTAAAAGTTTAAAAAGGGGACAAAAGGGTAAAGTGTCCAAGAGGGTGGATAACCCCTAATTATGTATTATTGATTATTAGGCGGACAACAATTGTGACAAAATGACCAAAGTGATGCGACCATCAAGGAAATTAAAAAGTGATGGGATGAAATCCTAATGAGGTGGATCACGAAATAATTCCGAGGACGGAATCCTTTTAAGGAGTAGATATTTCTAACATCCTAAAATTTAAGATAATGTTCTTAAATTAATTAAGATATTTAAACAAAGGAGGATTAACATAATTAAATCATTTAAATAATAATCATCTCAGTAGTCGATATGAACCTTGCAAAGTTAAAGGTTGAGATGTTAACATTTCAAAGTTATGGGACCCAAAGTGTCAATTTAGGAAAAGTATGTTTGACCAAGGGTTAACTCACCAAGGTTAAATGTATGAGGAATGTTAAGAATGGGAGTGTGAAGGACTCATTATGTCAACCTTTTAAGAAAACAGGAAAATAAATGAAGAAATGGTAAATTTGGCAAAAGATTTAAACTAGAAGGAGCAAATATGACAAATCCGAAAATAAGGATGCTTCCTCTTCATTTCAGCTAAACAAGAAAGATGGTAGGAGAAGAGATGAGGTTGGATGACGATTCAAGCTCAATAGAAACCCTAGGGGCCGATCTCAATCCTTCTTGGTTCATTTGGTGCAAGTTGTGAAGAAATTAAGTGGTTAAAGGTATAATTTCTTCTCCTTTTCACCTAGAATTCGGATTTGTGAAATGGGTGTAACCCCAATGTCGAATTTACCTTGTCTACATCTTTTTTTTCCAGAACTTCCTTTTGTAAACATCATCAATGTAAACACCATACACACGAGAGCTAACCTAAAAATGGACAAACACATCATATCAGGTGTCGATTTAGTGGTGTTTTGACTAGAAATAAGAGAGGTAGAGATGAAAATGAGTTATAGATAGGAAGGGGGCGACACATAATAGATCTGGTACAAATCCAACAAAGAGCTTCATACTCCATCATATCTGTTATTCCGGCGAAACAGATCAAAGAGTTTTTCTTGTGCTTCATCAAATCAGAAACGTTAGAGATTTGGAGAAGAAGCATATTCAGACTTCAAAATCGAGTTTAGTGTTTTCTAGGTGTTCTAGCAAAGCAAAAGCGGCTGATTGAAGGCGATAGTCGGTACTGGTGAGATTGATGGCGGTGGAAGGAGGTGGTGCTCGCTGGTGATGACAGATCTAAAGTTAGGGGTTCTAGATCTGAAGGCGAATGCACCAGATCTGAAGGTGAATACTTCAGATCTGAAGGTGGCGGCTACAAATCTGAAGATCGTTGTCGCTCCCATTTACACGGTGGTGATGACAGATCTAAAGTCAGGGGTTCTAGATCTGAAGGCGAATGCTCCAGATCTGAAGGTGAATACTTCAGATCTGAAGGTGGCGGCTATATATATATATATATATATATATATATATATATATATATATATATATATATATATATATATATAAACCTTTTTTTTTCTCCTGCCTTGAAAATCAAATCTGCAAGTTTTGTTTCACGCCACGTATCCTACCTTTATATAACAACATACCGTATTGCAACAGGCGTTTTTAACGTCGCCAATGTCTCACATTCTCCACGCATATCCGGCCTATCGACTCAGCGACTCCCCTTACCCTTAACTCCACAATTCATCTTTGTTGTCGCTCCCATTTACACGGTTACAAAGACGCCACGCCAGTCACTTATCATTTGAACGACGCCATCTACATAAAACTAGATCCAAACCACTTAGATTGTTACAACTATTGGGAACATTGCTTCCACCGTCATACCTGTTACCTTCTCATGCATACAACCAGACACACCACCAATTCCCTCTTCTACACACCGCTTCACGCATAGGCTTACTATATATAAATAGTTCTCAAGAACACGATTGAGTATCCTGATTGGGGCGAACTGAGTAATATCAATCCTTGATATTATTTTCTCGGGTATGTTTGCCAGATTCTTTATTTCAAATGCTTCCTCCGTTTTCCGCTTCGGAACCAAAAAGAAAAGACAAAGATAAATTTTTTTCTTTTTTCCCTCTTTACTTCATGAAGCTCTCACAAACAACTACAATCACGTAACCATCTTACTCTCAGATACCCTAAAATTCATATTAAGATCTCCACCAAGTTCCATTTTCTTATTCAAACATCAACCCATCATGTCAACTTCATTACTCTTCCTTTTCATCATAGCAACCAGACCCCCTCTCCTTCTTCTTCTTCCGACTTCAATCTTGCTTCTCCGATTAGATTGATTGTTGTTCCTAAGACATCATCTTTATTAATAATTCATATACTACAGGTTTGGATGCGCCTTTTTAAAGTGGTTACTCTAATTGGAAGAATTGTTGGTTTAAAGCATCATGTTCCATTATTTTTTTCTATACCTTTTTAATTTTAAACAATCAAAACCCTAAATGACCTATCTTATAGAAAGGCACTCTCTCTCTCTCTCTCTCTCTCTCTCTCTCTATATATATATATATATATATATATATGTATATATATATATATGTATTTGAATTTGTTTCCGATTACTACTCTAATGGGAATATACTTAAAATATGATCAAATGTGGGATACGTAATGTTTTATTGTGTTGTAGTGATTTGGAAAAAACTGCCTTGACAACTAATTTAGACTCTCATACCATTTGTTTTTCAGGAAACATGACCTTTGTATTATATTGGATATGTTGTTGCGTACTTTTCTGTTGTAATTAGACAACTTCAGAGCTTTGTTCAGTTTTTAACTTTACATGGATGCAAATCAATAGTAAGGAGAACTTTAGGGTGGTTTTTGGTTATTTTAATACATAATGAGAAGATTGTGGTATTTGTATTAATATAGCCGGTAAGCCAAAAGAAAGTTGGTTGCCTTATATCTAGGTAAGGTTGTAGAATTATTGAATACCCCTGGTGAAATATTAAAAATTAATTGGTAAAATGTCATTTAATTCATCTTGAATTGGCTTCAAGAAAGGGCCAGGATCTGTCTGAATCTATTGAAAGGGTTAGAAGTAACTTAAGGGGTAAAAAAAGTGAAAGTTCAATTGATGATGGATTGATAGTGATGGTATGGGTGTTGATGATGAAAGGTCAAATAAAAAGATAAGTCTTGGTTCAACGTCAAGGTCAAGACTACCTGCACATAGTTTTGTTCATAAGAGGAACAATGATCAACAAAGGGTGGGGGCGATAGAGTCATTCCGACATTGAAACCTTAACTAGGGTTAGAAAAATGAGGTAATTTTTAATATATACTTTGTATGCATTTTTTTCATTACTTTTTAATGTTATTTTTTTGGCACTAGGATTTGGTTTTCCTGAAGGTACACGGTAATGGTATTCTCAGTATGTTATTTTTAACGTTACCATCTTTTTCAAGTTACATGAATATGGTAGCTATGAGTTTGTAGGTTATGCTTGTTTTTTGTTATGATTTTTTTTCATAACCATAGTATTTTGATTTTGATTATTGGTTTTTGGTCATTTTGTTATGTATTTGGATTTTACATAAAAAGAACAAGGGGCAAAATGTCTACGTTAATTCATGATTATTCAAAATTTTCATGTCATCATCATTTGTCTCTTAGCCGTTTTAATCTCTTTTTGCATTATTAAAGAAAAATGAAACGAACATGTTGGTGTACTGTGAGGATTTTTTTATTTACAATCATTTTATCTAATTTTTATTAGTACTACACAAATTAAAAAAGGGAGCTCCAGTGTCGGATTTTGATGGTACTACAATAGTGGTTTTTCATGGTGGTTATGGAATTTCCAACAGATACGAAATATGGGCAGTGAAATTAAGCACTTCATTTCATGGTTTGTTTTAGAGAAGGGACCATTTGTGTTAGGATGCATATCACCTTGCAAACAATTATGTTATTCTTCTTTCATTAAATACTTTTTACATATTTCACATTGATATTTTCTTTTCTTTCTTGCATACAGGTGAACAACTAAACAATCTGATCCAGTATATGGCCAAGTATATGACATAAATTTTCATATGGTGATGTGTTGTATAGCTCATTTGAACGACGTCTACTTTGTGTGTTTCAGGTGGGATTCATTTCAGGATCGATAAGTATAGCAAATGCTAGAGTAAGTGACAACATAACCTAATACAAATGAAAATAAGATCAATCTTTACCTGGATATAAGGATTCAACTCGAATGGTTTTCGATGCCATAATTACCAAATTAAAAGCGAGATTCTACAAAAAGATTGGGTGAAGATTGTCACAAATTTGGGATCGAGATATAGAATAAAAGTTCTGATTTTTCCCTTGCAAAGGCTGCTTTAGAACTTCGCACTTCACAAAGCTCTATGGAAGATAAGAGGGACACTACTTAACAATCAAGTAACCTCATTTTTATTTAAAATATATCATTGTGAAGTCACAGTAACCTTCATTATAGATTTTATTATGATTTCTAGGTATGTGCGCCACTAAGTGCATTAATCCGAGGAGCTTCTTTGGAGGATGCTCGTCATTTGGCTCACAATTGTGATAGACTCCACCAAGAAGGCGGGACACATGTATGATATTTTTTATTATTGAAATACATTTAATGAAATTTGATTTACATAAATGTTTATTTATGCAGTCAAAGTTTTATGACACGAAACAAAATTTAGAACTCTTACTTTAAACTTTAGAGATTCATAAAATCTAAAAAAAATAGAAACCAAGTTATTGAGCTTAGAGTTTCTATGGTAACATTTAAAAAATAAGTTATTTCTGGTATGTTGGATGCTATCATAAAGAAATTAATGAAAGTATGTTATTATTATTTTTTTAAAAGATGGGTTCATTTCATTAAGAAAATGATTGACTTGGTGGAGCTAGAAAAGCTTTTAACATGCTAAATCCCCTTGTACTCCATGTTTATTTCAAACCAAAAAGAAAGATCAAGGAAAAAGTGGGTGAAGCCCTAAATAGATAAATCAAAGTTGATATTTCATGATTGAACCCAATATCCTTATAGTGTCCTGCAAACGATGCAGATAGGTTTTCTGTAATGTGAAAAAATCATATCAGGAAGGAAAAATAGCAATGGATTTTAATTTATTTTTCGATTATAATCATGCATTGTACATCAAAAATACACATATTTATAGCATTGTACTTTCATTTTTTTTATTATTAAAATAATATACTTTAAATAGCAACAAAAGAAGTTCCAAAATTACCTTTTGTGGACCGTGCTTAGCACGGGCCTCAACCATACCTAGTATATATATATATATATATATATATATATATATATATATATATATATATATATATATATATATATATATGGGAAAAGTGAATATGTGGCTGTCATGTATGTAATATTATGTATAGAACCTTCAAAATTGACTTTATTTTTTATTAAAAACAATAATTTATTTCATTGTTAGTTTCTTCATATTGCTTTTGAACTTATATTATTTCTTATTTCATAATTTATCTACAACATCTACGTATTTCAAATGTTTTGTTTATATTAGATCTGTAGTAGGCTTCATAACTTTCTTTTTGTCACCTACCATATATATATATATATATATATATATATATATATATATATATATATATATATATTATATATATGAATATGAAGATTTATAGGTAGTTGATAATGTAATTTTATACATAGTTTGTGATGCAAAATTAAATATTTAAAACTTCATAAAAATATGTACAAAGCCTATCATCTAGTCTAATAGAGAATAGAAGAAAGATGGTAAAGATATTTAATTGTATTTTGCTAAAACTATGTAGTTTTTGATGGTTCTATACCTAATATTAGGTACATAACAACCACATATTCCCTAAGCCCTATATATATATATATATATATATATATATATATATATATATATATATATATATATATATATATATATATATATATGTATATATATATATATATATATATATATATATATATATATATATATGGGAGGGTTCAATTGAGAAAAAAAATGGTTGAGAATGGGGGAATCATTCTCAGCCAATCATTTATTTTTACCGCAAAAGGCTTCAACGTACCCGCGTGTAGTGACAAAAGAACATGGTTTGGCATGCGGAATTAAAGCTTGCACAATTGAACATGGTGATTTGGGTGTTTAAGAGATATATTGAATGTATATGGTGTTTACAAAAAGGATCTAGATCTAGACTACATAATTAACACACACTTACACACTCACTTTTACATCTCTCAAGCACACCTCTACAAGTGGTATGAACCCACTATTTATAGAGGTGTTTACATGTCTCTCTCTCACTCCAACTAACAAATGGGTCTAAAGGCTAAAGCACCACATGCAAGTGGGTTATACAAAAGTCAAACATTTACAAAGTCATGAATGAATAACTTTGCACCCCAACACCGCGGAAATGGGAAACGAATGCACATGTGTTTTCCAACATAACATATTTCCTTAAACTATGCTAATCATTACCTTAATATATACAAAAACATAGTTTTAAGATAAAATAAAAAATTTATGTTTTTTTTATATTTTCAGCTATCGTTATTCATAAATGAATAACAATGCATTATGTTTTATTACAGTACATTCGTTATTCTCTTATGAATAAAAGTATGATTTTTTTTTTACAATTTAAGTATCATTCATATATGAATATAGCATATAATAAACATAGTATACTTATATTTTAATATTGGACCATGAATTCATTTGTGAATATTAACATAGTATATTCACTTGTAAATATTAGATGGTATATTTACTTATGAGTATTAAATGATATTTCATATGTGAATATTACATAGTATTACATGGTGTATCACATGTGAATATTATAGAGTATATTCACTTGTGAATATTAGATGATATATTCACTTATGAATATTACACAGTATATTCACATATGAATATTACAAGGTATATTCACTTATGAATATGGAAGGTATTTTGACAAATATATATAATTTTACAGTACATTCGTTATTCCCTTATGAATAAAAAGTATGATTTTTTTTTTTTTACAATTTAAATATCATTCATATATGAATATAGCATATAATAAACATTGTATACTCATATTTTAATATTGGGCGATGAATTCACTTGTGAATATTAACATAATATATTCACTTGTGAATATTAGATGGTATATTCACTTATGAGTATTAAATGATATTTTATATGTGAATATTACATAGTATTACATGGTATATCACATGTGAATATTACAGAGTATATTCACTTGTGAATATTAGATGATATATTCACTTATGAATATTACACAGTATATTCACATATGTATATTACAAGGTATATTCACTTATGAATATTGAAGGTATTTTGACAAATATATATAATTTTTATATGTTATTCACATATGAATAACATACAGACTTGCATATTTGTTTTGTGTTTTTAATAATCATATACTGATTCAGGTGAGAAAACATATTCATATGTGAATATAACGTGGTAATTTAGTTTATGCATTTCATCAAACAGTTGGAGTGCAAAAAAAATTAACTATTTTAAAAATGTTAAAAACATCAAGTTATCAATTCCAAATCATCATATACTTCCGATTTCGACTTCAGATGCGACATCCTATCTCTGATCGATTTCTCAATTTGATTTTGATTTCCGAAAATCTGATTGGGAACCTGTGAGTACTGATTCTAAGTCCCTCAATGTCGACTGTGATTGCGAGTCCAAAACTCGGATTCCAATTTCATGAACAGCGAAGAAATTCCGGTTTAGTTGAAGAAATCTGGATGATTATTGAAGGTTGGAGGAAAAATTTTGATGATTAACGAACAGTTATCGAATTCTCTATAGTTACGTATTTGAGATTGAAGGTTATTACGATATTTACAAGTTAGTCATCGTGTCTTTTATGCTTAGATTAAATGAGTGGCTGAGAATGATTCCCCCATTTTCAACTTTTTTTATTTTCTCAATTGAGCCTACATCTCTCTCTCTCTCTCTCTATATATATATATATATATATATATATATATATATATATATATATATGCCACTAAAATGAAATATACAGGGTTTTCTTTCCGCCACATAATCTACCTCCTAAACATGGATCGCCACATTGGGAGACATTGCTTCCAAACGTTTTTCCCAGCAAACATGGGTGATTTTCTTCATGCACTAGAGGAACCGATGCACTTCCCATTTTCTCTTATGCGTCTTCGTGCCGCCCCCTTCCCATTTATGTTTATTCTTATATGAAAATCTTTGGAGATTGACCAGATAGTCCTTCTTATGGTGACGATCAACAGCCGCATCCAGTTACCCCTACCACCGGCTTCTTCTACCAAACACGATTCTTGGGGGCACTTTGTTTACACTAATTGCCTTTCCCAATACACCGCCATAAATGACCCTCACTGTGATGCTCTATGTAGGTTGGTGACCACAACTGCTTCTTTCTTTTTCTTGAACGACTTTTTCTTTTTTTGTTGGTGCACCAAAAGTGAATCAAACACTTTTCTTGATTCTCAGGTATTCATCCATCGCTTTGAAGGGTAATTCATAGATATCCTCGGATTATGTATAGTAGAAGTGTGTGTTGGTGATTTGTTATCATCAATGTTACTTAAGTGTAATAGGGATTACTTTGCTGACTAAAAATGATCTTGATAAATATTAAACAAGTAAGGAAGGTGTGGAGTACACACTTGTTTAAGTTTGATCAAGTATTAAAGTATACTGTCATTTAGGGGCGAAGCCCCTGAACGAACGGGGATCCGGGGGCAGCGCCCCTGGGAGCGGGGTCCAAGGGGCAGCACCCCCTGGCGTGGTCCAAGGGGTAGAGCCCCTGGCTGGGGTCGAGCTGTATTAAAAATGCATCAGAAAATCCAAATTTTGAATATTTGACCCGGTTTTGACTTTGAATTAATTGTTATACAAAACCCGGATTTATGATAGTTTTTATTGTTAAGAAAAACTGTTATATGACAGTTTTGACACTTTTTTAGATAAGGAAGGTTTATAACCAATTTTAGTCATTTTTTCTCGTATCACGAAATTTCACCATCTCTTTCTCTCTTTCTTTTTTTCTTTAATTTTATCTTAGTCTTATCCAATTGAGGATTTGGGAGTACCACCAAAATACTTCGATTTGAAAGGGATTATCACGATTCTCAGATTTCCAAGTACCACTAAACCATATTTCTAACAGTGTGTATGTAGAATTTGGAACCCTATGTTAGTTTTAGGATGATTAGTTCTTTATGGGGGTATATATGTACATTAGGATGATGTCAAATATGTCTTACTAAAAAAGAATTTGATTATGCTCGTTAATATGTTTGATGAATATGCCCAAGAGAACTTTCATCTTATGAACCGAAGAAAATAAATGATTGACTGTTAATTTTTTTTCAATGGCCTAAAGTCATGTTTGATGTAGGCATGGATCCACAAAGCAAGTTGTTCACTTGATGGTATTGATAATAAAGAAAAGTTGTAGGCTTGTTAAGTTGTAGACTTGTTACCTTTGTAACATTTCCATGTTGTTTTTGTTTAGTAGGGAAATAAATGAA